TCTTTAAATGAGAAAAAAATGAAATCCTTTAGTATGTAAAAACGTATTTCAAATGTTAACGTAATTAATTGAAAAATGTTAGAAGGGATCATCAACCAATCTCGATGAAATTTGTCAAAACGGGTTCACACCTTTGACTAAAATATCGCACAACAGTTGTGCGATTGCCGATTATTTCGCAACCTGTACAACTAAAAATCAAGTAGTGTGCGCACCTCCTTATAAACTCATATGAATCAATGAGAGACTAAACAGTTGTGCGATAGTTTCATCGCACAACTGTTTAGTCTCTCATTTATTACTCATGAAAACTAAACAGTTTTAGGTATCCGCACACTCGCACAGATGTAGAACATAGTCTGGAGAAAACATATAGGCTACTTAATAAGTTATACTTTTTAATTCCACGCGAACAGAGTCGCTGGCAAATACTAGTTATAACAATAATTACTTGTGTTCATTTTGTAAGAATTTTCTAGACAACGTACTCTAGAATTAGTAGGTTTTTTTTTAAATGTACAAAGACGTTAATTATTCTATGAGTCATTTAGTTTTCTAACGCCAACGTTTTTCAGTTGACGGGACGATAATAACATCTCAATATACTGGCATTGTTCTTTCACACGAGGGTAGAACATAATAGTACAATACAATGCAGTACTTCTATTCTTTGAACACATTTCTTCAAAACAGTATGCACCGCTCTCAACCCTTGTATGAAATCGGAAAAGGTCAATAGAAACGGCCACAATACACGCATTACTTTCCCGCGCAAAACCAACATGGAGGCGTTTAAATTGACTCGACCAACTCGATTATAATCTATTTTCGTAGCTTTTGGAAATACCTGTTGATATTTTTGAGTAATTATTATCAACCATCGTCAATTAATATAACGGGAACAACTTTTTAAATTTCAAGACTTTTATAAATACGCCTATAATTGTACAAAGAGTAATAAAGTCGTGTAATAAGTGTTGGTCCTGTATTAATTGGGTATAGAAAGGTGTAATTATTGTTGTTTTTTTACCGTATGTTAATATTTTTGAGTAATTGTTGTAAAGGCGATAAATGTAACGGTGACTTTTGTTAAGAATTTATTAATTTTTTATAAGGTTATAATGATAAATTGTAATTGTTTTGGCATTTAATCTATATTATCTATACTATTATAATAAAGCGTAAACACACATTTCTTTGTTGCCTAAGATGTCAGCAATTACAGCATATTTTTGAATAACCCTTTTTTTAAATAAAAAGCCCTACACTTACGTCACGCTTTAGGCTATATATTTTCACGCCATTAAACTCAGGGGGTAAATATTTTGCATCAAAACCTTAACGTGGGAAAGAGGCCATAAGTTGCTGCCAACATCAAGGAAGCAGGATTGCTAAGGTTTGTCATGTCATGTCATTTTGACATTCGCTATTGATAGTTTGACAAACGTAAACAATATAAAATTTTCATAATTGATGAAGCCGCACGGGAACAGATAGTCACTTATAATTTGTGAAGAAACGATATGTGATATTTTAGTACAGCAATATAGATGTTATTTTGCAAAGAAATTGGTTTATTTGGAATTCCGTTGTTGTAGAATCGTATCTCGAAGTTTTTTGGTGACTGACTTGTCACTGTTTGCCTTGAAGAGGCATTTACAGCAGCACCGGATTTGAGATGGCCGAGCGCAGATGGCGCTCAGCTTAAACCTCGTTTATGAATAACTAAGCTCGAGGGATCCCAGAGGGGCTTCGGCTCGGGCCGTTACTTCGTTTTAATTATCGGATTACACGAAGTCGTTTATGTCTTTTGTATGAACAAGAGACATCTACGAGGAACTATATATATTGAAAAGTTAAGAAAATTAAAATTTGTTTCATTAAGATTTTAATGATCTCATAATCAGTTTATTTACGCTATTAAAGTTTTTAAATAATTGTACCTGTATGTGAAAAAAATGTGCCTGTGGGTAAAACAAACAAATTCAGTATTCTTGTTCAAATTTCACTTTTCAAGTGTTTTTAAAGAGGTCTTATGCAGCTATTCAGGTATAAAGTCCACCAGCGAATCTCATATAAATTTTATCGCGCTTACGAAAATTTTGTCGAAAATATTCGTGCTAGATCTTAGGTTACATGTAAATGTCGTTGTAGTTGACTGACATAGGACGACGATGTTGCTGTAATACTCGTAAATATAATGAAAATGAAAACAATAAAAAATAAAATAAAACAGCTTCATGAATTACCCCTCTGGGCCCCTGCTCAGTCCCTGACTAGTGTCGAAAAAAGGTTCCAAATAGGATGGTTTCCTATGTGATGGATCACCAGGCACCCGACCCATAGACCGCAAAAAAATTAAGAACAAAACATTATTAATCTTAATAATTAAATAGATATTAAAACATTTTAAAGATTTTAACGGTAAAAAGTCTCTGTTACGAAACCGACACGAGAGTAAGTAAAACATTTTAAGAAAATAAAAAAGGTGTTTTAAGTGACATGTGAGGTGTTGGTGAGTTGAGTAATCTTATCTTACTAATATTATAAATGAGAAAATTTAGATGGATGGATAATTATTAGAGTTTGTAGCCTAAACAGCTGAACGGATTTCGATGAAATTTGGCATAGATGTAGAGGATAATCTGGAAGAACACATAGGCTACTCAGTTTTGTTTTTATTCTCGCGCCAACGTAGTCGCGGGCGGAAGCTTGTGAGTAATAAGTTTTTTGATATGATTTTTTTATAATAATTTTATAAAGAAAAAAGAAAAATGTCGTATTTACTTTAAATATTTAAGACATAGTTTTAGATCATTGTTTTCGTATTGTTAACATAAGCTTAACTATATCATTTGAGTTGGAGTCTCGCTTTATTCTGTCGACGTTATCTCAAACTTTATTGTTATAACTAACCGCAGCGCGATGTCGAAACGACTCCGTTTTGCATCTTTATTATGTTTCAAAATCAACGATCTTTGTTCCCTTTGTTTAAATGATATCGTTGTTTGATATTTTATTAGCGTGCTCGAGAATTCAGCATCAAGTTTTGTATAAAGGAATTAATCTGAAGTGTTTTTGTAATTCACATTCGTTTCCAAAAAGATATTTCCTCAAAGGTTTAATTTATTCTATCTCATTTTAAATACTGTTCCGTATTTTATGCTATCTCACAATGAGATGCGTAATATAGTAACAGCGCCATCTAGATGCTTTTGGTAAAATCTGACCACAGAAATTTTACTTCGATAATTTTAAAGAATTAATATTTCTGTTTTGTATGTATTATTGTGGTGCTGTATTATTTATTAGAAGTGTCAAAAATATTGTTGTTTTAAATTGACTAGTTGTAATTTTTTTACTGAAGGCCAAAATGTTAGAAATATTTTATAGTGACGGTAGTTGGAAGTAAGCATTAAATCTGAGATAAACGTTTAGCGCTGCCTATGATTGCCCGCCCTCGATTCCGGAGCTAACAATTTGAGACTATAAAACAGAAGGTCGTACCCATCAGATTTACCAAGATTACGTACTTAAACGGCTTAAGGGTCTATCACGTGAGAGTTGCGGGAATGTTGTCGTAACATTATCGACATATGAGATTGGTTGGTGTACTTACGTCCGGTGGAACGCAGCACAAATTTAATATGTCCTGATGAAAACTTTACGGAAATGTTCAGACGAATATTCGCAATAAGCCCTAACTTTGAACAATGTTACTAAAATAATCCACGTTGCGTTTTTCGTAGAAATAAAGTTAAATCAAACATAAAATGCTACTCATTTCAGAGGACGATTATTTGGTATTTTAGGGTGCGATTACAGTGTTGACGCAATACAAAATAATTGCTGTAAAATTTAGAAATGTGTGTAAATACAACATATTGCTTATTGTATTTTGTTCAATAAGTGATGCCAATGTTTTGTACATGTTTCGATAATAGAAACTCAATATACGTGAGAACTATCGCAGAACTATTGTTCGATAGTCGATTGTTTCGCAGCAAATTCAACTGTTTAGTTGCACAATTGAATCGAGTAGTGTGAGGTCTTCCATAAGCTCATAAGAATCAAAGCGAGACGAGTTGTTCGATGGTTTAGTCAAAGATGTGCACGCTCTGAGTATGGCAACATCGTGTGTCCGCTTCATTGAGTCGTCAGCGTAACGTCCGACGTCGCAATAAGCGCCTCGCTAATTTATACTCTCATTGTTTCCGATCACGAATACCATTCATAAGAACCCATTCGAACATTATTTATACCCTCGTTTTCTTGTATCGTACAAGTGTTTTATCAGTAGACGTGTGTGTTTTCATTATTTTTTCATTTTTAGCTTTAAAAAAGTATACCTCCGGATTGAGTAGCTCCTTCTTTAAGAACTAAAAAATAGTAAACTATTAAAATTGTATTGTTATTCTGTGAATTTGTACTAATATAATAAAGCGTAAACACACAATACTTTGTGGCGTAGGATGTCGGCAATACAGCGTATTTTTGAATAATTCACACTTAAGACACGCTTTATGTTATAAATTCTTACATTATTAAACCAGGGGAATAAAAAAATTGGGAAAAAACCTTCATGTGGGAAAGGCATCATAAAATACAAGCGGCCAACATTAAGAAAGCAAGCAAGGTGGTTTGTCATTTGTTATGTCATTTTGACATTTGAAATTGATAATTTAACACATGTAAACAATAAAATAAAATTTTCATAATTTTATGCGGATGAAGTCGCACGGGAACAGCTAGTTTGTTATATATTATAGAATAATCCTATTTTTTTTTAATTTCGATTCATGTCACATTGGCGTCGCCAGAGGGACCGCAGCTGCCCTTACAAGATGTAAAACTACTAATAAGCCCTTTAACAGAAGTCTATATATCAAAACGTTTAAAATGTTAGTTGCAAATTTTATTTCCAACCAATAAGTTAATATAATTACATGAATTGAAAATATACATACATTAACAGCAAGAAATATAATTTTAAAATCTATTTATCTAACTGAGTAACCGATAGTGGTAATGTCTAAGTAGACGGGCATCGTCGTGAATTTATAGGATTTGTTCTTCCTCTTTTTATCTTCTGGAAGGAATTTCCAAATAATTAAATCCTCAGCTGATGTCGCTGAAGCTGAAATTAAAAAAAAATCTCAATTATGTATTGTTAAGAAGAGTACCGAACTGTAGAATTGGCACAACACTAGATTATTGGTATAAACGTCACATCTCTAACTGACAGCTGTCAATGTCATTAAGGATTGATTTTAGCGCTCGATCCTAGCGGGACCTTTAATTCAGTGTTTAAATTAGTATCTCTAGTAACAATTATATTAGTTGTTCAAAAATATGTAATTTTGTTGTGATGTCAACAACGTGTGTGCGATTGTCGATTGTTTCGCAGCCAATTCAACCGTTTAGTTACAACTAAATATCGAGTAGTTTGCGCATCTCCACAAGCTTATAGCGACTAAGGAGTTGTGCGATAGTTTAGTCAAAAGTACGTCTCGTGCATTTTAAAATATGTTTTTTTCTCATAATATGTTTATCCGATTTGATGTTTTTATTAGCAAACCTGGTAAATAATTTTAATGTACCTAATATATTGAATTACCTAGTAATGTTCCTTCAGGGTTGAAGATCATGTATCGGACTCGATCCGGAAACTTTCTGCCGTCGCCCCAGTGGTCCACTGCTGTATTGTGATCACTTAACACCACCAGTTGAGAATTTCCGAATGCCACTGCAAAGAAAAATAATTAAAACTAAAGTCGACTTTCCACATTAAGGTTTTTATCCAAAATCTTTACCCCCTAAGTTTAATGGCGTGCAAATATATAGCCTAAAGCGTGACGTAAGTGTAGGGCTTTTTATTAGAAAAGGTATTATTCAAAAATATGCTGTAATTGCTGACATCTTAGGTAACAAAGAAGCGTGTGTTTACGCTTTATTGTAATAGTACAGAAATATAGATTAATAATGAATAATATTTTTGTCTACAAAAATATAACAAAATCATTTTACCACTAGGATCGAACAAGCTAATAACGAGTTCTCCACTTCTATGATTAAATCGCATGGTGTCGAGATAATAATTTTTATCGCTGAGTCCATAATTCGAGATACTGCCGGCGGGCACGTCCCACATGAGGATACGAGCGTTGATGTCTTTGGTCACCGTCCCAACGCCCAGCAGAGCGCTGCGCCACGGATGCCAATTCATTGCCTGCGAATTAAAAAGTTTGGTACTAGACCGAGATTTTAACAATGCAGACACTTGACTAAACTAACGCACTGGTCAAGCAATAAGTAATAAATATCACGCTGGCCGCTAAGAAAGCCATAGAAAATATTTTTTAATTAAGGAACGTAATTCGGATGAAGAGAAAAATGTGACGTGAGCGATGTAACCATATTTTATTTGTATTGAAAGCCTTTTTATCAATTTATGTGAATAGTTTGTGTGTTTTATCAATTAATAAAGAAGAATTTATCAATGGTTCTAGTTTACATTTATTCACGCACAATTGTTTAATCTCGCTTCAATTCCTGTGAGCTTATAAGGAAATGCACTACTCGATTTAGTTGTGCAACTAAACAGTTGAGTTGGCTGCGAAACAATCGACAATCGCACTTCATTTGTGAGATAGTTCAACCAAAGTTCTTCGCCCTCTCTTAATCACGTTGAATTTAGAAACACATATCACATCTAGGATTCTACGGACGTGTTGGTGTTCGACTTTCGTATATCTTATGAAAATATTTAATTGATGCCGGTGACCTAATTTTGGTCACTTTTATTAAAAGGGAGGAAAGGGAATAAAAGATTTGACGTTAGAGGATACATAGAAAGGGGAAATATCCTCTTTATGTGCGTCTCCTCTGTCGATTAATTGCAGGCAACGCATCTGCAATTGCGGATGTCTTGTCAGCAGTCGCTTCGCCATTTCTGCGAACTCAGATGGCGTACTAGTTTGCCACCTTGTAATATATAAAGAATTACTTTAACAGTCCAAGTAGGCGATCCCAGTGACGAGTATAGTTCAAAAGAAGGCCAGCATAGAAGGTATATATTATCTTGCAGCACTGACGTCACGGCGATAAATCGAGCATCCGGAGATATTCGAAGCAGCAATATTGCAACTTTACTTATTTTTTTCTGTGCCAATGATTTGTAGTCGTTAGTAAACGATCTTATTCTACCTTCTGAACAGCCCCTGAAAACAAATAAATAGATAAAAAAATATATACGTATTGACGATGTAACTGTATTCGAAATTAAGCCCAGATTCCCTCGGGCGTTAAAAAAGATTCATGCGGGGTTTCTGAAGTTCCCATCTATTTTATCATCACATTTGTCGAGCAAAAGCTAAAATGCTTAAGTTACTTGCTACTAAGGCTTCATTTAGAGCGTTCGCACACCTGAAACTAAACTATCGCATAACTGTTTAGTTTCTCTTTGATTCCTATGAGGTTATATGAAGGTGCGCACACTACTCGATTTTTAGTTAAATTGGCTGAGAAACAATCGATAATCGCACAACGGTTATACGATAGTTTAATCAAAGGTGTGCACCCGCTCTTACAATATACTAATGAATGTTGGTATTGTTTCATTTAAATATTAGTTGTTGCAGGCGACTTTACTTGCGAAATTTAAAAAAATAATAAAACTACGCAGTGATAACATAGCTTTTTAATGGTGCTAGATTTTTGAAATCGGTCCAGTAGTTTTTGAGTTATTAATACATACAAAAATACAAATCTTTCTTCTTTATCTTAGTATAGATGGATATAAAAATGTATACTTGCATAACATAAGAATTGCCCGTTGGACTCCATTCGAAGGCTGTGATGGCGCACTTAGTATTCTGTTCTAAAACCTCATGACATTTGCAGTAACTGTAGTTCATGCATTTAGATAGCTCGTTGTCGTGAATTTCAGCTCTGCTGCCAGTTGTTCCCAACTGGAAATAAAATACTTACAACAAATATCTACACTAATATTATAAAGAGGAAAACTTTGTTTGATTGAAATGAAAAGGCTCAAAAACTACTGGGCCGATTTTAAAAAATCATTCACCGTTAGAAAGTTTATTTATCTGTGAGTAATATAGGCTATATTTTTTCATTTCTTTATTAATATTTTTTAAATTTCACGCGGACGGAGTCGCGGGCAAAATGTTACTAATGTTATAATTGCGAAAGTTGGATGCATGGATGGATGTTTGTTAAAGTTTGTAGCCTAAACGGCTGAACGGATTTCGATGAAATTTGGCAAAGATGTAGAGGATAGTCTGGAAGAACGCAAAGGCTACTCGCTTTTGTTTTAATTCCATGCGGACGGAGTCACGGGCGTAAGCCAGTTAGTTATAAATGCGAAAGCTTAGATGGATGTTTGTTAGTGTTTGTGGCCTAAACTGCTAAATGGATCTCGATGAAATTAAGCATGGATGTAGAAGATAGTCTGGAATGACACATAGCCTACTTTTTTTTTAACTCCATGCGGACTGCGTCGCAGATAGCATTAGCTATAATTATAAAGTTAATAAAAATGAAATATCAGATATCGTGTTCGGGTATCCTTTTTCTGCATTTTTTAAATTCAGTTTTCGTATTATTTTCAATCTATGTATTGGTATCTTACCGCAAGATACTCAGCTTTGGGATGGAATTTACAGCACATAGTTTGGTGAGTAGTTCTCGATTGCTTTATGATGTTTTGCGTTTTCCAACTCCATTTATAGTAAATGCGTCCTAGGGCTGCCACAAGCACATTATCGCTGCCCCAATCAAGAAGTTCTGGAACTAAAATTAGCCCTTGAACAAAGATAAACTCAAAGACTTTTAAAATATATATAGACGAGGCATACTGAACAAAATTTTGTTCACCGGTACTTTCTCTAAAAGGTATTAAATCCGTTGTTAAGTGCCACCCAGTCTTGTCACATGTAATACACATTTTTACAAAATTATAAGCTCCATCTTTTGTTATAAAAAAATACAGACGAATTGAGTACCTCCTTCTTTTGGGAAGTCGGTCAAAAGTAAACTAGAGAGTATCAAAAAATAAATTATAATCATTTGAATATTAGACAGTGGTGTAACAAAGTCGATTAAGGCACCCCATAGGCAAGGCTTTTTAAATTATTGGTTAATCTATACTTACAAACATTAGAGACTTACTTACTAACTTACAAGAGAAAATTAAAAAAGAATAATAACATTTATTCTATGGTTGTTACTAAAAATGTTTTTAAAGTTATCTAAGACTAGCTGTTCGCGTGCGACTTCATCCGCATCAAATTGTAAATTATTGTTTGCATATGTCAAATTCTCAATTGCAAATGTCAAAATACCAATTACCTTACTATGGCAATCTTGCTTCCTTGATGTTGGCAGCAACTTATGGTCTCATTCCCACATTAGGGTTTGTATCCAAAATATTTACCCCCTAAGTATTATGGCGTGAAAATATATAGCCTAAAGCGTGACGTAAGTTTAGGGCTTTTTGTTAAAAAATGATTTATTAAAAAATATCCTGTTATTACTGACATCTTAGGCAACAAAGAAGTGTGTGTTTACGCTTTATTATAATAGTATAGATTGTGTTTTCACATTTTTATTGGAAATAAAATTTACCAGCACTCCTATATTTCGTAAAACTATTTCTGTATATATAATGTATTCTAATATTATAAAAAGGAAAGATTTGTATTTTTATATACATTTTATAAACCTGGACTGATGTTAAAAATTCTTTCATTATAAAAATGTATCTGAGTAACATAGGGTATATTTTCTATTATTTAACAGTGGTAGTGCTCGCTTTAACATCTTAGCACGAATGGGCCAGCACGCCCGGTGTAGTACCACGACCACACAGAAGACAGGCGTGAAATGGAAGCAATTCCGTGTTTCGACTGATGAGTGTGGTGCCGAAGACCTCATTTAAGTCCCTTTCTCTTTACCACCCTTTTCTTATAAGGAGAGGATGGAAAGGGGAAGTGGATTTGATGGTGGAGGAGATGCATAGGAAAGGGCATTATCCTCTTTATGTGCGTCTCGTCCTCCGTCGGATAAGGATAGGTAACGCATCTGCGATCGCGGATGTCTATGGGCAGCGGTCGCTTCGCCATTTTGGCGGATTCAGGTGGCCGCTTGCTCGTTTGCCACCTTATGTTTTAAAAAAAAAAAATTAATTTTACGCGGACGAAGTCGCGAGTAACAGCTAGTATGTTAGTTTTAATTATGTTTTTGATGAGAAGCAGGTGCTGTTAAACATTAAATTAATGTACACATTAGTCTGCAATGTACATTTTTATCTTTAAATTCTTAATGTCAATTCGAAGTGTAGTTTGTACGATGTTTTCTTAACATACGTTATCGAATGTTAATATATTTATCAAATAGTAGATATCGATATCAATTAGATGTAACTCTCATAGACTTGAAGGTCGCAACAACCATTTTTATAATGTCTCAATAAATTTTCTTAATCATATCTAATATAAAAGGGCAAGGAAAATAAATTGAATATTTTACATTAAGCATTCGTAACGAACGAGCAGGCGATTCGTTCATCCATTCAATTCGTTCATATCGTTCAGTTAATCGCTTTTTATTCCGCATTACGTAATCTCATTATAACTAGGGTTTAATTAAAAATCTATACTATTATAATAAAGCGTAAACACACACTTCTTTGTTGCCTAAGATGTCAGCAATTACAGCATATTTATGATTAATTCTTTTTTTAATAAAAATCCCTACACTTGCGTCACGCTTTAGGCTATACATTTTCACGCTATTAAACTTAGTGGGTAAATATTTTGGATAAAAACCCTAATGTGAGAAAGAGACCATAAGTTGCTGTCAACATCAAGTTAGCAAGATTGTCAAGGTTTTTCATGTCATGTCATTTTGACATTTGCTATTGATAATTTGACAAATGTAAACAAAAAAATATTCATAATTTCATGCGGATGAAGCCGCACGGGAACAGTAGAAATAGAAACAAAAATTAAAACACTTTTACTACAGATAGAAAACAAGGTAAATGTCGCAAAAGATAGGCGGTAATTGGCAAAAGTAATTTCAACGCTGGTTTTCTAAACTAAGGTTGTAAAGAGTAAAGATTTGTATTTTTGTGTATATTGAAAAAACTCAAAAACTACTGAGCCGATTTCAAAAGTTTTTTTGCCATTAGAAAGCTACGTTATCAGGGAGTAATATAGTTAATTATAAATGGTACAGATAGCTTATGTAATACTTACAATCAGCCCCACCGTAGCGAGGCAGGTCTAGGATACTGTCGGCAGGGGAGAGATATTTCCTCTGTCGCGGCGCACACGGCCAAGCTGGGCACTTTTGTTGATATTTACTTAATTCATCATTGATCCCTAACACGCTATAGAGGAGGATTGCGTGTTTCTTTTGTTGCAAGTAATTGCTGTCCTGTGAACAAATATACTGGGTTTTGAAGATAGGGAACAAAATCTGATATTGCCATAACATATTTTACACGTTGAATTTTTATGAGACAAATCATAATGGTGGGACAGGCCCTAAGTGTCAGCTAACATTTTATCTGACAGTGTCTTCATTTTAAAGCTATTTGAGCCATCTATCAGCCAGTGGTGGGATAGGCCCTTAACTACTAATAAACAAAGACCAATTAAAACAGTCATAGTGCGGCTTTTAGCGAAGCAGTTAAAAATCGCAGTTTACCATCGCCATTAAAACTTGGAAAGCCGACTGCTTGGAGATATCCGTGTATGGCGGCTTTTACATTTTGTCTTGTTGAATGTCTTTCAATTTAAACCCAGAAGGTCACAATGTAATGGGTTACCTACTCAGATAAGAAAATAGCCATACTTTACCCATAGATCACAGCTTTTGGTAGGTTTAGGCCACGAGTTGCGCCTGCGCTTCTCCTCGACAGCTTCACGTGCTGGTACAAACCTATCACTCTGCCACCGGCCCGTGTTACACTGTAATATTTATTTATTAGGGTAAATAATCAATAGCACAACAAAAAAATAGTACAACGCAAGTCTTAGTAGATGTGCCAACCACAACAATACAAACTTTACCTCGTAGTTCTTTAAACAATAACAAATTATAATTATTTAAAGTGTTTAACAGATATTATAATAAAAAAATAATTGGAGAAACTTGTAACAACATCTCGCCTAGTTTATTCCTCTTTCCTTTAATTCCGTTTTATTTTGTGCAAAGAATGTGAATTTGACAGAGGAGGGGGCGCAAAGAAAGGGAAAAACACATCGTCACTTCCTTCAGGTGAGATCGTGGTCAAGAGCTAGCTTAACAAATAATAAAAATGGGAAAATATTCTCTGTACGTTCCCTCTTCTGTCATTTAAAGTAGGCAACGTATCAATATAAGCGGATAATGGGCAACTGTCAGTTCGCTATTTCGGCGAATATGTCGCTTGCTCGTTTGTTACGCCTGTCAATTTTAAAGTGAGTATTCGAGAAACAAGATTTTATTGTTAAAATATAATAAAGATTTAATTAATACTTAAGAAAATACTTACAGATTTTATATTGAATACATATCTATCCATAATAATGTAATTTTTCTAAACACTATACATTAATGTTGGTTCAATAATGGGCGCTCGTCAACAATACTTTTATTAAATTACCTTCACATTTCAATAGTCATTTTTGTAACTGTAACTCAAAAAGAAGGTAATCTCGATTTACGAAACGTTGTACTAAATTACGCATTAAAAAAAATATTAATTATTACTAATTTAATCAACATTTTAACATTAATTTGTAATTATTCTAGTAACTATTACCTTTTTTTTTAAGTTTTTTACAGCACAGTTTAATCTATCGCAGTGTTGCCACATTTTTAACATGTTTATTTTATCAGTTTGTTCATGATGTTTGATCACGATTTGTAAGTTGTGTTCTCTAAAAATTTTTTATGGTCAATAAATAGTGTTTTATTTTATTTTATTTTATTTATTTTTATTTTACCTTATTCTATTTACGGATGTTAGCTTTTTAACTATTTTTGATGTATTCTGCATTCTTAAAAGTTATTTGTTAATCTGTGCTATTTATCAATACGTTTATCTTTATTTAAAACAATATTGTTATGAAAATATTAGGAAACTGAAGCTCAGTCGCCAACAAGCTCAGTGTTTTACTAGCCGTCACAACGGAAAGTTCGATATTTTTGCGTTTGTGCGTGTTTAGAGTAATTTACAAGTATTGTTAATATGGCCGTCCGTCTATATTTTAAAGGTAGTCATTTGTGGAAATATCGTAACACGGATAAATAGTTCGATTTACTACAACTTCGGATGTTTTTTTTTATTTCTTTTGGTATTAACCTAATTTATTGGTAACGTAATTGCACGCTCAAAATTATTGTTTGTATGTAATCATACTTCATACTAATATTATAAGTGCGAAAGTTTAGATGGATGGATATTTGTTGAGAGTTTGTAGCCTAAATGGCTGAAAGGATTTTAATGAAATTTGATATAGATGTAGAGGATAGTCGGGAAGAACACATAGGCTACTTGAATTTGTTTTTTTTTTTAATCCCGCGCAGAGACACGGGCGAAAGCTAGTATTGAATACAAAAATGTATATTATATATGGCATATATGCTTAAAACGATAATTTTTTTTAATTATCGAGTGTTTGTAAAGCCGTGTTTGTTCCACGTAATCTTTGAAACGGTTGGCCAGATATTGACAGGAATTTTATTGAAATGTAGATGTTGTGTGCGGGTGTTATGAAGGTTATTTTTTGTGCATAAACAATTGGGAAACTGCTAATTTAACAAAAATGTATCAATAAATTAACCAATGATCTATCTAACGCTGAAGTGTAGAGGTTTATCTGTTATTTCTAATCTGCGATAGATTCTTATGTATCCTTGATTTAGATGCGGTAGGCACGCGAACTGAAATTAAGGGGAGTACACACTATGCAGGTGTTTTATCTATTTTTATAAAAAACAGAAAAAATAGTTATGAAATTAATTTCCTTGTGTCATACCGGTACAATTATAATTGTACAATTACAATAAAATTAAAACATCACTATGCGATAAATACAAAGTTGCTTTATAGGTACTAAAACCCTTAGTGTACATTTAATATAAGATATGCATCTTTAACTAAACATCTTACAGTTGCGCGATTGTCGATTGTTTCGCAGCCAATTCAACTGTTTAGTTGCACAACTAAAAATCAAATAGTGTGCGCACCTCCATACAAGATCATAGAAATTAAAGCGAGACTAAACAGTTCTGCGATAGTTTAGTCAAAGCTCTAAGTCTAATATTTAAATTAGACAGTTTGACTGGCACTAGGAGTGGATACAAAAGTTTCGTGGTGGACATATTATGCGAGATGTTGATAACTCAAGAAATTATTAAGATTTTAATGTGGTCTTTGGTTACAAAAAATAAAATAAAAAAAAAACATGCAGACGAATTGAGTACCTCCTTCTTTTGGGAAGTCGGTCAAAAAGTAGAGGAAGACGGAAGAAAGTATGGATTGTGCAAAAGAGGTTATGCATGAGTGAATTCAGGTATGACTGCTGATAGAGATGTATGGATGAGTGTGCCGACCCTCTATAGGGATAGGGCAGGTTGATGATGATATCATCTAAGAAAATTACATACACGATCGAGGTGTGTTAATTTCTATTCTAGCGTTTTTATTGTACTATAAAATTATTTACCGTCAGTTTCCACTGCGAAATACTTATATTAGTGTATTGCTATCCCTCTTACATTTACTAAAATATCAGAGATAGCAATATCTTTTTGTCCAGGTGTTGAAACCGCGGGAACCCACCTTTAGGTATAACATACGACACTGTTATTACAGGGTGTTGTTTAATATTCAAAGTTAATGCTGTTCTAAAAGTGATAAATGTACACAGCTTGTATAGTTCCTGGGCATTTTAATATCGGTTTGTATTTAATAACATTATTACGCATTATAATTCTATGGATAAAGAATTTATAGCTGGCTTATGACACGGTTATACGTCAAATAGTCAGTTATTATCACCCAGTGAAAGGACACTTTTTTATAATGCAACATAATATCATATCATAGAAAAACATTATAAATTATTATCCTTTTTATTTCATTTATAAACGGAAATAGTTTTAATACGTGTACAGTCAGCTGCACAAGTATGTATACATTTACAAAACTTTGATATGACATTTATTTCCTAACAACTCGCCCCTCAATGAAACAAAATTCAAATAAAATAGCATAATGCGTGTCATAAACTTCTACCTAAAAGCCCCCAGCTTTAAAAAAAAAACAAGCATGCTGACTGCTGACATCCTTAAATAACAAAGATGTGTGTTTTTACGTTTTATTACATTAGACATATATATGTATCGAGCTGACTGTACTCAGTGCAAACATGTTAAATTATTTCTAATGGCTTGTTAGTGATTCTTTGCATCCGAGTTGTTCATGTTTTTGTGCCGTACTATCGGATATTACTAATCACGTCTCAGCGTGAAGTATATGCCCTACATAGACTGAGATTGTTATCTAAATAGTACTTGAGATGTCCTTACAAAGACCTCGTTAAACGTATAAAAATATTAGAGATCCTCGACAATGTTTTTCAAAATAACTTTTTAATCATTACAAATATGTAAAAAGAGCATAAAAATTAATTTCTGGATTCATTTATAAAAAATAAACAAACTAGTAAATTTAAATTAAGTTGTTTAAGAAAACTTTTTAATAATTTCTACCATTACGTTTTATTTCTAACAGAACTAAAGACATCAACGCTATTTGACCTGTGACTACAATGGCTTGCATGCTTGTATTTCTTAAATACATTTTATACGAAAGCCTTAAGTAAAAGCATTGTATAATTGTGTATATTTAATTCACCGCTTATCTGAAATTATTTCCGATAAAAAAGCCTATTGAAAACCACATCGGTTAACGCGGACAGGTTTCACGTTAATACATATTCATTCAGAATTAAAATAGTGAAGTCAAATTTATTTGCATATGGAGTGGACATTCTAGTGTCGAGAAAAAATTTAAACTTATTTACATTATCTATGGGCTAGAGCCGAACGAGTGGTTACTACGTAACATAAATGTCAGCCTATATGGGGTTGGCAGACACAGGTTGTTGTAACCGAATACGGACGGAAACGTATAACTAAGGCGTAATTTTTTTTAATTATTTTATATTACCCATGATTCTAACATCAACAACACGTTAAAAGTGTAACTACTGAATACCGAAAGAACATTAAAATATGTTAAATGGCCAAGCTTTAAATCCGAATTTCAGATTTATAGAACACAAGATATCAAAACGTTTCAATATTAATTGATTTATACATGGTATATTTACATGTATACAGGGTGCTCGACTTACTCCTTTCTGCTTATCACGAATGTGACGACTATTACGAATAAGTTCTCGCAACGGTCATGCAAATATTCATGATACACACTTTGTTCTTCATTTCTGTAAAGTTTGAGGAGTAAATCTAAATCTATACTAATGTTTTTTTTTATAATAAGAGGGGGCAAACGAGCGGCGTGAACACCAAGGTGGTCAACGACGCCCATGGATTTCCGCACCATCAGAGAGTAACATAAGCTACGTTTTTATTATTTTTTTTTAATATCACGCAGACGAAGTCGCGGGCGAAAGCTAGTGTCATATAAATCTTGATTTGTAATTTTTTAAAGATGGAATAATGTTATTAAACGAGGATACACGGCACAAACGTGTGTCTGCTGTGCAACTGCGTCGCCACTTGGCAGTCACCTGCGCAACGTGCGCCGTCTGCTAACCACGAGCCACAATAAAGTTGGAATCTTTTAATACCGAATAAGGTTTGTCATCGATACAAAAGTCATTTCATTTTATTTTTTATTTAATTATTATGTATATATGCTTTTGTATACAGAAATGTATACTTTTAAGTG